ATATGTACAGTGGGAGATTTGTACTTTCAGACTTGCAAGATTGATGTCACTCTCCCAGGTAAACCAGACAGGAAACACAACCAGATGAGCTACTTCTACTTTATTGTTAGGCTACATTAACAGAATCTTGCAAGTCTGAAAGTACAGATCTCCCGCTGTCCCTTTTTACCGCCTGATCAGTTAGGGTGGGTCCTTCTAAGTTCCTTTCTCTGCCTTTGATTCAGTTGTGGGCTCCTCCCCCTTTTATCTGATTGTTCCCTGGGTAGCAGCTCTTTCCCACCCCGTCTTCCAAGGCCATTCATACATTCCATTACAGCTATAGGGGACACAACAAAAAACTGCTAAAATGGAGAGAATCACACATTATGTGTATTTGTAATAATCTATAAATATACCTTTACATTTATAAAAAAAGTATAGAGAATAGTATATTACCTGAGGGACCGTCTTATCCCCATTACATCAACTGTCCCACCTGGTCAGGCAGAGAGGGCCTGTTGCGGACCCTGTCAGCAAGAGAATGTCGGCTGGTGGGGCCCAGGAGGAGAGCCTGCTCTGCTGTTGCCCCCACCCTTTGCAATATTCTCCCCCCAGAGTGCGATGGGCCCCTACCCTCCCGGCTTTCCGAAAAGGTTTAAAAGGTCTGGCTCTGCCAGTGTGCATGGGCCGATATGGGCTCTAACTGTCCTTGGGGGTGATTAGCACCCTGACAATGCTCTCTTGAATTATTCCCCAACTTTCTATCTTGCTTGGAAGCTATTTATTATTAGGTCTGTTTTATATTGTATTTTAGTGAATTTTATTTTTGCTGTAAACCACCCAGAGTCGTTTCAACAAGATGGGTGGTGACAAATTTGATAACTAACTAACTAACTAACTAACTAACTAACTAACTAACTAACATATTGGAGAAGGTGCAGCTGAGCAGGAAAGCAGGGCCAAGCACTCCACAGTGCTTGCCAATGATAGTTGCCAAGGCTTTTCTTTAAAATGGGCTTAAGGAGGACTGAGTCACAGGACAGGTTCAACCTGTGTATTTCCCAGGATGTCTTGAAGCAATGCTATGTTTAGGACATGGCAATGGTTAGCATAGTACTGCTATCTGTTGCTGTCTCAGGAATGCACATAGGCAAATTCTCATACTGATGTAGGAGAAGACTTATTGGAGAATTCCCTGCAAATCAGGATTTAACTCCCATCTTTACATATCTCCTGATAGATACCATGGATTGCTGGTGTCAATGTGAATTCATCTCTCTTTCGTTTTAAGCCAAAGGGGCAAACAGGAGGATTTCCAAGCCATTTGGCAAATTTCATCAGTTGTTTTGTCTATAGTGGCTTCCAGTTGGAGGGCAGGTCCAACTGGGTATCAAGCAGAGCCTCCCACTGATCACACTAAGCAGTTCCAGAGTTTCAGATAGTGATCATTGCTGCTGAAGCACCAGCATTTTGCTACATTGTATGTCATAAGATGGTTAGTTTTGGTACTGGTGGCTCGTTCCACCTCTCAGTTCCTCCTTTCCTGATGTGGTGGCTGGATGGTGTGATTATATAAGGAACTACAGAAAGCATGACAGCAAAAGTAGCTTGGAAGGCAAGTCTCACCTCCACGATGAGTACAAGGTTGTAATGTAATCCCTTTTTTGTTTTTTCACATGAGGGGGAGGGACTTGTATTGCAGCCTGATTCAGAGGAGGCAGGAAGAGGCTTGCACTAATGGTTAGCAAGCAAGCGGTGATTGGCTGAGAGTTCTCGATGCTTAGCTATTGGTCTGGAAGTGCAAGTGCTCATTGGCTGTTGATTCTCAGTGAATGTTATAGACTCACAAACAAGTAAATTTGTGTGCTTTAATTGCATCACATTTTTTTCAGATCTAGAAATAGTCAAAACAACTGGTCAATCTTTGCTGTATTTTCACTGTGGAATTAATGACAGAAATACTAGAATTTCCTTAAAATATAAAGTTCCAGGCATTTTCCCCACTTCCACTTTATATATGGTTTATCCTTTAATTGTTAATTCAGACCATATGGTTTGTAAATATCACCATAACATTGGTGTCATTTGTCTCTTTTCCTTTTCACTATTATACTGGTTATATACAGTATATACATACACATATACATACACACACACATACATGCACACACATAGACACACCACAGAGACTGGTTGTTGTTTTTTTAACTCTAACACACTCTCACTCAGTCCCCCAATAAATTAATGTGGTGTGATAAAAATATTTGAGATGGCAATCTGATGGCACCAGCTTCTTGAGCTGTGAAGTCTCTAAGTTCAGCTTTTGCTAAAAGCAAAATGAATGAATGGGTTCACCAGTAAGATACTAGATTTTGTAGATTATGTTAAGAGAAAAAGCCATAATACAGTGGATTAAGATAGGGACAGAACACTGCCCAGAAAGGGAGACAGGCAGGCAGAATAGTACTTTTTAAAAAGTGTATGGCTCTACATAAACTAGGGTTTCAAACAAAGATTAGAAATGGAACTCTAAACAGTATCCAGTTGTGAAATGTGGGACAATCTGTTCTGTCACTTGAATTGCTGTCAAAATAAGAATACTAGCCTGTATTTGACCTTGATAAACATCAAGGGGAGAAATCTGCATATTAAAAGGGATTTTGAAATATAGATAAATTGAAATAAGCTAATTGTAGGGGAAAACAAGTGTCTTATGGATTGGCAGGTTGATATAATTGTAATCATATTGCAAGTTGTCAATTATGGTTCAATCAAAATGTCTGCTGCAAATAACTAGCACATGACTCAGTGTGAGAAAGGAAACTGAGATTCAGTTTTCCATTTGTAATTAGGAATGTAAGTTTCCAGAAACAACAGGCCTTGTAGATGCTGATTCCCAACAAAATAAACCTTACAATGCAATGTGACTGACTGAGCTGGTGAATTTCTATGCTGTCATATCCATTTTGGAAACATGAGAAATGAATTTTGATGTAGAATTATTTAAACTAGACACCTTGTTTTTCAAAGACAATATTCACATTCTATATAGTCTCAGTAAAAAAAAAAATGTTGAAAATGTTGTTCTGGTTTTTCATAAATGTTATTCCTTCTATTAGGAATGCTCAGGATCACTGAGATTCAAGCGACATTACTTGGTCCCATCTTATATCAGATCCATTAGTAATAGTAGCACATTCTTAACTTATCAAAGGCTAATTAAAATATGAGAAAGATACCAGATACTAGGAAGAGGTTCTGGTATTTCATATACCATCAAGGACTCTATTCTTCTTTGAACTAACCAAAGGAGGATCAAATATTTATTTATTTAGCATATGGCATCTCATACATGGGCTTTCATTAAATAATACAGTGGTACCTCGGGTCACGAACGCTTCTGTTCACGAACAATTCGGGTCACGAACAGCACCGTGCGCAAAATTTTGCTTCTGTTCGCGATTCCCGCATCGGGTAACGAACAGCACCGTTCGCAAAATTTTGCTTCTGTTCGCGAATTCCGCATCGGGTGACGAACAGGATCTGCGGCCATTTTCCCTGCTGTGACACGTGGTCGTGGCTTCCTGCAGGGAGGGGGACTCTCCCTCCAAAC